TACTATATAAGTTTAGTTAGTTAGTATTAGGTTTGTTTGTTTATTCTTTATTAGTACTATACTATTTTATTTTGTTTGTATGTGTGTGTGTGTGTGTGTGTGTGTAGTATATATATATATATATATATATATATATATATATATATGCATTGTTTTTAAGCCAAGGTGGTTAAAAGATATATTTGACCCAAAATTCACAACCTATCTTCCTCTATAGACATACATACTCACTTTGTTAATGCTTGTCATAATTTATAAAACACATTACAGATTACTAAGCTTATTCCATGTGATTGTAAGATTGAAACTGTGCTTTAATTGTTCTAGTTGTTTATCTGTCTTCATGCTAGCATCTTCTCTGTTAAATAGCAACACTACTAACTTGAACTCTTGATAATGAATATTGAAAGGGATAATAGTAGGAAGATTGTATATTATGTGTTTTGATAATGAAAATATATCGATTGCTGATAAGAAAATTGTTTTCTTCATATATTGGTAATGGAGTGGTTTCTTTCCTCTGGTTAGTAGTTCAGAATTAGGGACAACTATTTGTGAATCTTCAATTACAAGATCATAACTCACCTCTCACACAGAAATACTATTTCCCTTGTGCATCTGCCTATGAGACTTGCATGTCATTAGCCTTGAGCTAATTCCCACCTAGATTCACATGTTTAATGTAAATTGCACTGGTGCATGATGATGTCATTCTGTGGCAATAGCCCTCTACCAATAGAAGAGTTACACAACCTCCATGCACAGTAACTTGCCCTATACACTTACACTCATGATAACTTAATCCATTTCCTCAGCACTGCATTGAACAGATGTGTTCAAATTTCTTGTCTGAGTTCAATTTGATGAGATATGCATTTGTTAACAAAACTTTGGTTTTTGTCTTATTAGGTTTTTGTTTCAAATGTTTGAATTCTTTTCATGAAGTCTCAAGTGATGGTGATTTCTACTATGGGTTCTAGAAGCTTGTTGACTCTTGGAGATGTTACAGTCTTTGTTCAACATATTGTGGATTACCTCTTGCTTACTAGGCCTCCTCCCATCTCTTTGACTTACATTCTTTCTCCTCAGTTGTGGGTGACTAGTTGGATAACGAATTTAATCAGATTTGCTTTGGGTTGCACCTTAATAATCTAGGAATGTCCTCCACCTTCCAAACTCTTTCTGGATATGATTTCTTGGGTATGTTCTTTTCATTACATATTGCCTGTGTCCTTTAATATTTTCCCCTTTTCGTCGTCCCCACTATCTGATATAGATGGTTCATCAGTCTTCTTGCTAGTAACTTTCTTGTCGAACTGGACCCAGTGGGTACCAGTCTCTCTCTCTTCAACAGCCCATGGTCTTGGCTTTCTGTTGGCAGATGAGTTTTTCATGTTTTCTCCCACACTCCCTCTTTCCACTTTTTTTAATTCTTATCTCTTCTTTCCTTTTTTTCCTTCCTCTGACCCATAAATCTTTAGTTTTAAAGATGTAGTATCAGATCTTTTGGCTAAGCATGTCATCAAGTGGGTGTATTCCCCTTCTTTAGGTTTTTTTCTCTTATCTCTTTGTGGTTCCCAAGAAGACTGGGGACTAGCCTCAAGTGATCAATTTATAGTCTCACAACCACTTTGAGGTTGTTTCACCATTCTGGTTGGATGATTTCTTTTTTCTCCTATGGGTTTTTTCACCAGGTCTGTGGATGACCAAGGTTGTTGGACACCTTCCTACACATTCTAATTGCCTTGTTCTCCAGATGTTTTCTATGTTTCTCTTATTTGAATTGTGTTTTCCAATTAGGTGCTGTTCCCATTGACATAGTATTGGGCCCTCTTTATTTAAATTTACATGTTCTTTCTCATATCCATATGATATTTGGTACACCTGGGTGTTTCATTCAACTCTCATCTTAGCCGGGCCCCACCTTCTCCTCTTCACCATTGAGCCATGGAATATCTGACCATCAAGATTTGCATTTCTCATTCTCTTCCTGCTCGAAAGGTTCTTTTGATTTTGTGGACTCTGACTTCACTGGAGCATCTCATCCCTTTGGGGCCTCCTGCAATGGATCTTGTGAAACCAATGGATTCCTTCTTGAGATCTGTTGTCCTAGACTGTGCACCTTTCCTCTCCTCTACTCATAGACTTATCATGATGTTCAGACCATGCCAATCCTACATATTATGTTACCTTACCACTCTCAGACTGGATCTAAATTTCTTCATTGGTACTTCCCTCTCAAGTTGGTGCATATCTCTGGCATTTGGATCCATGAGGAGAGTTCACACCGCATCAGTATGTTCCAATTTCTTAACTCTTCTGATGGATCACTACATCATGATGCACTCCAATAATTCCAAGATTGATTCTAATATCAGTTGTTTAGGAGCCACCTGTCCCTGTATTCTTTGCTTTTTGGCAATGAACCTTCTCTTTTGGGCTCATTCCCATTGAATCTGTCTTGTTGCTTGTCATGTGGTGAGGGCTATGAACCTTTTTGCAGACTGCCTCTCTCAGCCACACTGTATTCTGCCCACAGAGTTGACTTTTCATATCCAAGACTTTTATTGTATTTGCTATTGGTTGGGCATGTCTCTCATGAACACCTTTGCCACCCCTCTCAACTCCAAGCTTCTTCTGTTCTAGTTAGTCCCCTGTTCCTCATCCTTCAGCTCTGGCTGTCGATGCTTTCAGCTGAGACTGGTCTCACCATTTTCTGTATGTGTATCTTCCTCTTTGACTCTTTCTTTGGGTCCTTGCAATGATACATGACACTTTGTCAAATCCTTCTGGTAGCACCTCTTTGGCTAGCTCAGTTTTGGTTTCCTCTGTTTGTTTGCTCAGCATCCAGATCCTTCTTTCTTTTACTTAATGTTCCCTCTCTATTGCTTCAACCTTACACTTCCCCTTTTCATCAAGGAATATTATCTATCCATCTTCACGTCTGAGATTTGACTGGTCTATCACCCATGAGGTCAGACTCTCTGATCGTGTATCTTTCTTCTTCTCCCATCCCTATCACCCTTCCACTTTGTTTGTATACCAACAATAGTGGCAGGTGTTTCAGCATTGATCCATCCACTGATCATTTACTTTTGGATTTGTCAGTGCCTCTGGTTGGTATATACTTCCTTTGATATGAATGCTCACAGGCTATTTCACAATATTTGCATTGGATTCATTATATGCATCACTCTCTTGTTTCTCATCTTTACTAGAACTTGGATGAGATTTTCCAGGCAGGCATGTGGACAACTCACCACACATTCATTACTCATTATCTTCATCATTAGGCTGTTTTGTCTCCCACAGGATTATGACTTCTCCAGGTTGTCATTCTTCAGTCAACCCACCATCTTTGAGATGAGTAACTGTGTTTCTTATTCTCTCTCTCTTTTAATCTAACAGGATCCCAGGGTATGCTTATTTCTCAAAATCCACATTAGATCAGGGTCAATGGAAAGTGTACAAACCATCTACCCTGGCTCTCCCAGTGCCCACTATTAGATGGGGTGATCGGTGAGACCACTAGAGGTATCATTGTGGTGTACAAGTTTACTCAACTGTGCGATCCAAACTGTATCAATTCCATGGACTGTCATGAAAAAGCCAGCACCAGGATAATGTCTAACCACTTCTTTGACTCATGTTTGTCTGCTTTTAAGAATAAGATCTTGTGGTTACCCATTGTATTGTTTCCAGTTAAAGAACTATCTGACTGGTGGTCCAGTTGGGATCTGAGTATTTCTCCTGGTCTCCCCAGAGTGGATTCAATTGTTCATGATTACATTCTGCCCATCCCAGCATCACTTCAGGCTCTTTTTGCTCTATTTCATCTCAGGCAAAGAGTAGACCCTAGTCGAGGCAAGATACAGTCTCCCATGGTTGGGCTCTATGAAGCCTCTGCCATCAGATGTCACACTCTATGGACTTTTCCTTTGGGTGCTTTCTGAAGGCAGTTCATTTAGATAAAATTTTGCACTAACTCCTCCACTACTTCAGTGTGGGATTCTTGCATTTCTGTGTGTAGAGGTGAGTTATCATCTCAGAAGTTAACATTTTCCTAATCTGAAAATGTATTTCCAATAGATACCTCTTCACACATTCCCACCCTTCCTACTGTGCATGATGGTTATGTCACCCCTTCTCTTGAAGGAGGGCTGTTGTTGCATGATGATGTCCTTATGCACTAGTGCAGGTCATGTTTAGCATGTGAATTTAGGTGGTAGTTTGCTCAAGGTTAATTAAATGCAAATATCATAGGCCAATGCACAAGGGAAATAATATTTTTGTATAAGGAGGACATTTTCCTAATCTGAAATACATTTTCAGGTTAGGAAAATGTTAACTTTACTTGTTTAGCCTATTTGTGCATTAGGCATGGACCAGATTGAAAGATTTCAATTCCTCCATAAATCCTAAAAAAAGATTAATAATGAAAAAAAGCTGTTCTCTTTTTGAATGATATAGCCATGTCTTAATTTCTCATTTTTTTAGATACTGGTATTTGTACTTTTAAAGTAAACAGTGAAAAGAAATATATATATACACGTCTAGTACTTAAGTGACATGCACAGGGGTGGCTGATTGGTTGGAGTCCCTGCCTTTCTGTTCTAAAGCCACCAAAGTGCCTTTTTTTCAGTCATAGAAATTGTCCATAATTATTAAAAAATATGTCTGATTCCACACTTTGCTGAAGAAAAAGATTTCAGCTTTAAAATGAATGGTACACAAGGACTTGTAGGTCTTTATATAATTGAAACATAATTGTTTATGGTATTAAGTGGTATTATGCAAGAATATCTAATTTTAGATTTTAAAAGTTTTTATAAGACTGATTGAATAGGAATAAAAGAGGATTTGTTTACTTCTCATGGAATTCTATCCTTTGTGTACCGAGGCAACCCACTGTTTCTATAGTCTCCTCTAATACCTAACCCCCCAAAAAAATAAACAAAAGAAGTTTTGCCTTATGATGCTTGAAAGTGCCCATTTTTTTTGTCAACATTGTACACTCTTAATGTTCTCTGCACGTTACTGTACACACACACACCATACATACATACACACTTAATAAACTAAGTGCATAAGTTGTTTTTTTTTATTTTTACTGTGCTAAGTTTATTTTTATCAGCAGGTTTTGTTTTATTCTTGGTAGACTAAATTATGGTGACTATACAATTTTAAGTTGAGAAACTTACATATTTCTTTTGGAAAACATCTGTTATATTACTGTAGCATGCAGTTGCAATCTTTTGGGAATTACTGAAAAACAGGGATGTAATCAGTTTACTGGAGAGTGTACCTGTAAAAGGAATGTTGCTGGAAGAGATTGTAATCAGTGTTTGGTAAGTCTTAAGCAAGAGCATGAAGCATTAAAATGATTTAATACAACAGAAAATATTTAGGGGCTAGTATTAGATATAATATTGGATTTACAGCATTTTAGTTTGATTCTTAAAGGTTGGTTACCATTCTTTAAGAATTAAAATTTTGTTTTTTGTATTAAGTATCATGTTAATATTATCTTGAAACCTCAATAAATTAAAATGGTTTTAGTTTATTTTTTTATTTTGTGAGTGAATACCATTCCCCTTTCTTCCTAGTAAACAAGTATTGCTGAATATGATGGTGGCACTCAAACAGTCTTAATTTCAAAATATTCAACATTCTATAAAACTAGTTTTACAATGAGAAGAAAGTAATATTACTATTAAGATGACTGATACTTCTAATGCTCATATCTAATACTGCTTGCAAGTGCATTTGATTTACGTTTTATGTAAATTTAAAAACTTTTTTTTTCTGTTGCTTTTTATTTTATTTTGCAAACAATTGTAACATAGCTTTATATTTTAAATTTTAACTGTAAATCCTACTTATTTGTCCAAGGCAAAGATTAAGGTTAGGGTAAGTTAGGTTAGTGAGTTGTCTCCTTTTATATGACCTGGTGGTTAGGGCACTCAACTCACAATCTCTAGGTCATGGGATCAAATTCCATTCCCAAACATGCTCATCCATTCAACTGTGGGGGCATTATAAAGTGATGGTCAATCCCACTATTCACTAATAAAGGTTAGCCCAAGAGTTGGCAGTGAATGCAGAATTCAACAAGGAGACAAATCTATGATCTGTTATACAACCAGATCTTATATTATATTATTGTAGAAGGGTGCTTAAGGCCAAATGTGTTGCATTATGCCCTGATTTTGAGTTTGTAGTTGTAATAGTTTGCTATGACCTTATGGTTGCCATGGTTGTTGTGCAGGTTTGACAAAAGCAAAACAATAACAAACTTGAGAAATATCATATCCTAGGCAAATTCCAACAAAGTGTTGTGTTGTATCACAATACAATTAGTGGTATAATAAGTTATATTGACAATGAACGTGAACTTTGCTTTAAACATAATATATGTGGAAATAAATGCCAAAGAAACAATTCCCAAATATTAAAAAAATTTTGGAATTGAAATAATTAAATAATTAAAGGAAGTATCCTGTTATGTAAAAATTAAAAAAGTTATTTGTTGTAGGATGCTTAGAGTACAATATCCATGGCTAGAATGTTTCACTATGTTAACCTGGTATCATTAGGGTTATTATTCCATTTTAACAAATTGTGCCAAGATATATGTGTGTGTGTGTGTGTGTGTATACATATATATTTTGTTCTGTTTCTAGTGTTGTGTGTTATTTTATCCTGATTAAACACATTTTTCTCAGTCATAAAAGATGAAACTTATTAATATATACTTTTACCCTAACATAAAACATTACCTACATGATAGACAGAATTCTGGGGACTTAGTATTGATGAAGTAGGCTGTAAACCATGTGATTGTGACTCAGGTGGTGCATATGATCACAATTGTGATGTGGTAAATGGCCAGTGTCGCTGCCGACCCCATGTCGTTGAACGTCGTTGTGACCAACCTGAATCAGGCTATTTCGTTGGCAACTTAGACTACTTGACATACGAAGCTGAACTCACAAGAGGTTGTCAAGTGAGTAGCTGTTGGTCTTTTATTTAATTTATTACATTAAACATGAGGCTAGAAAAGTGTTTGATTATAATTTTATATCTCTTTTTTTTTGTGGCCACAGGACTCTAATCATGTTTAGCATGCTTTATTGACTTCTACGCCAAAATAAATAGCACTAAGTATAGATTTGGATTTTGTTCTCTACTGTTTTACTTAAAGGTGTTCTTATAATTTAAATTTGATCAAAGCAACCCATGTATGTATATACACAAGAGCCGTCTAGTAGCTCAACGGTAAGTCTGAGGGCTTGTAATGCTAAAAATTGGATTTCCATTCCCATGATGGGCAGAGCACAAATAGCCCATTTTTTAGCTTTGTACTTAATAACAAAACAAATGAACCTACATAGGACAGAAAAATAAAACTAGAAATTTGTGTGATACATGAATTTATTTTATTTAGGTATCTGTGGGTGCAGGAGCCACCTGTTGATGAGAATACACCATCATCTATCAGAGTTAGTCTGTATTCGCATATCTTAAATAAAGTATACAAATAACCATTGTTGAAGGTCAAATCCATAGTGTTCCATACTTTACATGTAAAACTACCATTCACTGCCTATAAATGAAAAGAATGAAACATCTGAGAAATAGAACAAATTAACACAAATAGGCTACTAGGGTTGATAAGTTAAAAACTTTTCTTCTGATGTTTGCATTCCAACTCTCATATTGGTTGCATACCTATATAAACTGTAACAGCATTCACTAACCTTAAATGATTAAGTCAGTATATACTATTAAATAAGAAAGAACATTTGTATTTTCCTTCTTCATATACATAAAAGAGAGAGAGGAGGTTATATTGTATATCACATTATTCAGTTTTGGGGAGGGGAAATTTTAATATACTTCTATTAATTAATAATATAGTTTCAAGGTTCATATTTTAAGTTGCTACAGTTGACCAGTACTTGGTACTGACAACTGAAAAATGACTATTGCCATGATGGTGATTTTGGCTGACTCTCTGTTATAATTTTTCAGTATTGTTCTTTGATTGAAATAAACTTGCATTAGCTTTTCTCATTTCTATGAATCGTATTAAATTAAGACATCCTGTAAGTACAGGAGAAATTATGGTATGCCTATGTTTCTTTCACAAGGTTTTGTTTACTTTTATTTACTCAGAATTCAATTCAGCTTTCTTAACTTTAATATATTGAAGGTGTCATGAAATTAATAAACTTGCAGCTATTAGGGCAGCTTATAGTATCTAACTTAAAATAAAAAATAGGACATCAGAGAGGTATTCAGAAGGAAATCTCGATGAACATGAACTCTGGAATACAGCTAAACAGTTAAACTTCATATATATTGCATCCTTATTACTGTACAATAGTAGGATACTGTACTGTAGTAGGATACAATATTCCTTTTCCAGTCCCTGGTTTGTAATGTATTTTTTATTTTGTCCTGTGTTGATGTTTTATAGAACTGCCAGGTAATCGTCAGAGAACCAAAACCTGATAGAAAATCAACATGGACTGGCCTTGGTTTCATGAGGGTGTACGAAGGTTCCAACCTTAAATTTAACATCAGTGATATTCCACAAACCCTGGAGTATGGTATTATTATTCGTTATGAACACCAGGTTAGTTAGTATTCAGCTCTCTTGAAATTTCTTTTTATCTTGATATTACTCATAGTTAAAATCCTTTATCGTTTATTACAATGGTACACCATATATACTGTAGTTATAAAAAACGGTAAGTACATTTTACTATTACATGCATTTCTTTAATTTATGTTACTTTGTATTATTCATATTGTAAGGAGCAATGTTACAATCTATGTCAATAATATAAGGATAATTACTTAGGCTAGACCTTACAACTTTTTCTGTTCTGTGTGATGGTCTTGGTTATAGACTATTGCTCTGTAGTGCAATTTCTACTGTAGGAGGCTTTTGCACAATACGCTAAGGACCATGATTTACCCACTGTGTGAGTGTGAAGCATTACAATAAGCAAAGACAAACATTATTGTGTTAAGCTATTTTCAGCAAAGAACCTAGAATTTGTATGTGGAATCATTTAGTTGAAAGTGTTGAGTATTTAGACCCAGTGTAACAAGAATATATTGTTGAAAATAACAATTTTTTAATACAGAGTAGTTTATTACATGATATACTATACACGACTAGTAGGTTAATCGAAATAATAGAATGACTATCTAAATATGGAAAGAAAATACAAGATGATTGATTTACATGTATTAAGGAGCTAATATCCAACAATTAAGAATCAAACATTTAAAAATTAAGCATATAAGATATTATTTTAAATATGAAGGGATCATGTATACAGATAGGTGACAAGTTTTTTTTGAATTGTGATTGCAAAAAAAACAAGCTTTTAGCTAGTAATTTATAGCTAAGAACTCTGGGGTGAGTGGTGCCTGTCCAGGTATACTGATTCGTAATTCGCACTAAACAGTCTTTCAGATCATTAATGAGGTGTAGGTTCTTCCTCATGGTATATTGCATCACAAATATGCCCATCCTGAACTGTATGCTCCTGGACTAGCATGAGTAAAGCAGGGAAGAGATAAAGAGATTGTTGCCCATACTTTTGTTCCTGACTCGATCCTTCAGACTCAGCCTGCTTTTCAAAATAAGGTGTCACAGTCAACCATTCCACTTTATCTGGTGCAGCGCTCTTCCAGACTCCCCAATGTGCTCTTTCCCTACTCTTCTCTGGAGTATGGATGTCCTTGCTACTTACCAGCTCCTAGCCACTGGTGTGATGGACCATGGAGGCTTCATCTTGAGTGTGATTTTTCCACTCAGTTGCGAGTAGGACAGTAGGGTTCTGCCAGTGTAGATGGTGTGACAATCCTCCTACTTTGAATCTGATATACAATTCCAGATGCCAATTGGTTTTGGACTGGATTTTTCCAACATAATGCAGTTCATCCCTCTGGCTGGGAACCCTCCTTCCTACAGCTGCCTGGATGTTAGTTCGTGGGTGTGCTGGTGTTGGTTGGAGCTTGACTGGCCAACATAAGTCTTCATACATATGATTGGGCTGGGACCCCTTCTACCATGGACTGGATGATACATTTCCAATGCTGCATGGTTTTAGACTGGAGTGGACCCTCCAAATTCCACCTTCCTACCATCACACAAATTTTGGGTTCATGGGTGGCTAGTGTTGGTTGTGTACTAAGTCTGCACACATGTTGGCTTGGGTTCTCGGAACAGAAGTCTTCTTTCCCTTCTGGTTCCTGGGTCTGAGGTGAAGATGGTAGGGACTCTTCTCCTATCATGGACCAGATGTTCAGTTTCCTGTGCCACCAGATTTTGGACTGGAGTTGACCCATTGATTATAGTCTGACATGCCCTAGCCTCTCTACACCAATTGGTACATCCGTTTGATTATTAGATGTACTCCTTTTCTGCCCGATTTAGCAACACTTACCATCACAATGGGTGAAGAGTATACCTGTTTCAGATGTGGTGTGGTCTTCCAAGAGTGTGTGTGTTCCTCACCATAAAGAGGTCACACTCCATGGGTTTTCTTCAGATACCTTCTGAAGGATGCTCATCTAGATGATTTTACACCAGTCCTTCTACCAGATCAATATGTAACTCTAGCTATTATGTGATAGGAGATAAGTTATTGTATCAGAAGTTATAATTTCCTACACTAAAAATGTATTTCCAATAGATACTTTCCACTTCCAGTGTGCCTTTCATGCCTAATCTCAAAGTAAAGATTGGGTTGTACTGCATAGAAGGAGTCAGCTGTGCTAGGAGGGTGTATTGCTCTCCTATTGTTGGTGGGTTGTCTCATGCTTATTTGCATGCAACAGCACAGCTGTACCATGTGGAGGTAGGTGGAAGTATCAAGGCAAGTGGCAAGCATACAGAGAGCAGTAATAACTGCAAAAATCTATTATATAACGAAAATTATTACATCTGGCAGGACATGTTATTATCTGTTTAGTTTTAAATCTTTCTAGGATGTCTATCATGAAAGAGTTGGAAATTAAATATCTGACTGCAGTGTATTTGAGTATGAAAGGTGGTAGGCAAAGAATAGAGAAAATACTGTTTGTGTGTTTGTCATAAGCTTTACTAGTAAAAAAGTAATTTTTTCATCAAAAGGTCTCAAAACTTAATGTTTTTGTATCACGTTACTAGTGATATAGAATATCAAGTAGCCACTATAGTATTGCTGCATAAGATAATCAAAGAAAAAGTATCAAACACAGTACAGAAATGTTTTTAAATATATTAACACTTCATAATTAAGTTACATGTGTTGTCAGAGTGCATTGTGATTTGCATTATTTTGTGCAGGCAAATTGTGTAATTTTGTCATATATTTAGTTAACCTAGTTGGTATAATGGCATCTACCAACAGTGAGCACTGCAACTGAGGCAATTTGAAAGCTATGAAGGGCTTTATAAAGAGCTTACAAGGGCAGTTACGGGCAGTTTAAGGAAGGTAGGGTAGTTTCAGGAGGTAGGCTTGTCTTTACAGTTTGTCTGGGAATTCCAATCTTAGCATTACCTTAGTTCAGGGAAGAACCAAGTACATGAGTGACTACTTAAAATTATTAGCACATGACATAGGCTTTCAGTATACTTGGTTAAGCTGCATTAGGTTTGAACTACCAAATATTTCTGGTGTTCACCAACTGTGACTGCAAGAAGCGATATGCTAATCTTCAAGGGCAAATCCAGGATCCTATTGCAGAAGCATGTTTGATGAGGTTGTACATGTTTAAACTGTAAAGGACTCATATTGAAGTGTATTTCATCTTTAATGTTGTGGGGACGTTGTTCATTTACATATCTATATAGATATATTTACATTATTTGTTGTATTTTGAAGCACAAGACTTGAACACCTTTGAATCCAGAAATTGGGAATACAGTTTCCATAATTAAACTTTTGGTTATTGATAATGTTTAACTTAAAGACTGCAGCTGCTCTAAATGTGCATGGCATTTTTGGAAGCCATACATCGTATGTGGCACACTTGCACTTAACTGTCAGAGACACAACATACCCTATACGATGAATCAGCAGTGAATTTGTTAATGATGGAAGTGTCAGTAATGGCGATTAACTTTTTTTTATGTGGGTGTTTTGTAATTAGTATTATTTATGTTAGTTTTATAATCTTGTGTGTATAAAGTTGATTAGATTAGACAACCAATCTAAAGTCTTAATTGACTTATTCCAATTTATTCAGGTGTCTAGTGCTTGAGTTCTTTTTGTATGTATTGTACTCTATGATTTCATGCTGCTAATCCTTAATCACACATTAAATGTCACAAAATTTGTGTGTTTTGTGACAAACACTATTGATAGTATAGAAAACTGCTATTATTAGAAACACAGTAATTTCCACAAGAAAATCCAATACTTGTTAATGCTTAAAATCCAGTATGGAGCTCTGAATCATATATTTAGCAGAATTAAACAAGATTGTATCATTTCTTCAACTTCAAGATAAGTTGGGCATCTTTGTGTTTTTATTATTCAAAATAGTTTCCTTCCTAAAAAAATATAAGTAGAGATGTTTGGAGAATGTGTATTAAAATTGTTACATTTGGAATTCTCTTTTGTTGTTTATGAAGTTTATTTATAAAAATAATATATTTATTTTACATACAAAATTTCAGTTCTAATAGTCAATGAAACATTTTTATTGGTATTTTTTTGTTTTATTCAAGTATAATAATAGGTAGGCAATCGTTGTTTGCCTACCTATTATTATATTAGCATGATGAGCTTTCATACTCAAGTAAATTATTCAAGTATAGTTGGCCACTGAATTTGTTAAGGCATTATGAGAGCCAGTATGTAACATTCTAAATTGAGAAAGATGTAGGTTGGTAGGGTTGTAAGAGAGTAAGTACATTTTTATACATTTAAAAGTAGAATTTTACCACTAATAATATAGATATACTCTCATTCTGGTTGTGAAGTAGTAGTTAGACCATCAGATGGCAAGAGCACTATAGTTCTCATCCTGTACATTTAGCCATAAATATGCTGGCTTGATTATGGCTTCTATTAAGTTTTGTATGTTTAATAGGTGTATCAATTAATCATAGTTAATACACATATTAAAAGCATTTTCCTAATGAGTATTTAATGTGCTCTGTCTATCATCTGTAATGTAATATAATATAACCTCTAATCAGATAGTATTATAATGGATTAGAATATCTACTAGTTTAGCTATAAGATATGCAGTGAGGAAATTTCCAAACACTGCTGTTTTTGCAAGATATATATCTGAATTATAATTGTGTATTTTACAGCTTCCAAAGGATTGGAAAAAGGTTATAGTCAGCATTAAGAGACTAGATCCTATTGAACAGTCAGGGCCTTGTGCTCATACTAAACCATCTAATGACAAGAAGATAATCCGTTTATCCTCAGGTACATTTCGTATGCATTTTATGACTGTACACTCGCATATATATGTGAGGATGTATTATTTTTAATATCCTAGTATATACAAACTGTGTATGAAAAGTTATTAGGACTTAAATCTATATACCTTCATAAGAGTGTAGAAAAAAGTTAGAAAAAAATAATTATTGTTGTTTTGTACAATTTGTACATATGTGGCCCATAAGACTTTATAGTAACAGAACCATTTACAAGTTTCTTGAGGTTACTGTTGCACATGCATGCCAAGAGATTAAATAATTTCTTTCTTTTTTTGTGACCATATATTTGATTTTATGATTTAAACATTTAAAAATAGGATAATATGGAGAATGGTGGGGAATTTGTGCTAAAGATGAAGATTATCTATGAAATGTGAAGCTCTATCTAGAGTCTTCTAAAATTAACTTTAAATTAATTTAAAGCTTACTCTTGTATTTGTGGAAAGACTACATTTTTGTGTTAAGTAGTAAAAGAATAATGTATTATTTTAAGGGGAAAACGTCTTTATATCAAGCTGGGTTTCTGTGAGAGCTCTATTGTATTTCATTATTCACATGTGATTTATACAGATCTATTAATACCTTTTCCTATAAAAATGTAGCTTCTGTAAGCCTGGTAGTAATCATTTAAACTTTATTCCAAGACTAGTTATCACAGTCTATAATAAGAAAAGAAGGCTTAAAAATAATACTCTTTGGTTAGAATGTAAAGTTAAAAAAAAATGTTTCAAGCAACTGTTGTTCATTTATTAGTTGCAGTACCTGGTAAAGAGCATTTGTTTGAAATATTGTAACAAATTCATTTTTTATAACTGGTATTTTAATTCTATATTTTTTAAACTTCATTACACTATAATAAGTCTAAAAATGAATGTTTAATAGCTTTTGAGAATATTATTGTTGAGTAAACAAATATATACTTTGAACCATACTTCTTGAATATTTTCTATATGTTTGTTGCCAGATATGCCTGGTATCATAAATGCTGTTTAGAAACATTTCCAACATTTTAATCATGTGTTCTGTTTGATGGAAATACAATTTAAGTTGTTATTTTATTTGGCAGTTTTGTTTAAGAGCATTTTATATGTGTTCAGTTGGATTCAGATTTGTAGAACATGCCACCCAGCCTATTTGCATAATATGCTTCTCATCCAGGAAGCTACAACACAGTTGAGCATGATGGGGGATTGTGTTATAATCCATTAAAAAAAGCTCTTTACCTTCATATGGTAACAATAATGGTTGTAAGACTGCATCCCTATGTTGTTTGGTATTCATAGTGCCATAACATAGCACATAAATGTCAATATGATCACCAATGGTGACCCATGTTCAAACCTTTATGTCACCACTGAAACCTGTAAACAGGCCATTTGTTTTTATGTTGTTTGACCAAATCACATGTTCTTAAGTTTACTGAAGACTTACTGTTTTGTAGCAATATGTCAGAGGAACCATACTGTCATTCATTTAACTTAAAGATGAACCCTTAAGAAACCTGTTTTTGACAATATGCATGCTAATTTGATGTCCAGTTTCTGCTATGAATTGCTGATTCAGTTGGAGAGATGAGGTCTTCTGATTGCTTCAAGCCCATAGTTTCAAATATTGGTTGTTTTGCAAAATTGTCAACAGTGGTCTACTCTATCCATGTCTCTGTCCAACTGTATTGGCAGTCTAAAAGCAAGTCAACATCCCACTAACAAAACTTTGTGAGAGTCAACTCTGTAATTACTTGCTATGTTTGACCAGCTTTTAACTTTTTTGTCCTCCTCAACATGGAACTGCTCTTGTCAAAAAATGGTTTAGATAGATAAGTGTTATAAAATTTGACTGATCTTTATATGGATCAATAGTAGATATAGATTATTGTACAGTAAAATGTTGATTTTCTATAAAACCTAAGGTGTACCTTTTATTAATTTAAAATAGATCATAATACATATTGTTATTAAAATATGCAAAATGTAATTGGCTTAACAATGGCAATGTTGTATGACATGCACTAAGGCATCTGCATTATTGCCTATGTAAGGTGTATATATAAGAAAACAATGCTGAAATTTGAAGGAACATGTATGTAAGATATTACATATGTAATATATAGTATATGTACTTGGACTTGTATTGAAAACATTGATTAAAAATGTTGAAATTGCACAAATTTTTATGACATGAATGCTTAGTGAAATTTACTTTCCTTTTGTTTCAGGAGAAACACATGTCCTAGTACCTCCATCAGTTTGCTTAGAGAAAGGAAAAATGTACACAATTCGTCTTAAGTTTAAGTACTACAATAGACAAAAATTCAACCCTCAAGCATTTGTGTATATTGATTCTGTAAGTTTTTGTACCTTTTCAAAGATACTTGCATTTGAAAATCTCAAAATGTTAAAATCAAGTCAATATAATTCTCAGAAAATGTTCAGAAGTTTTATGACAGTGACTTTTTTAAAACAGATCTGTGTATTTTTCTTTCTATTTTTATTTGCATTTACAGTTGGCCACTCTCTGTTTTTTGAAAAACTAAAATCATTTGGCTGGTTAAGATTCATTTTATAACAATATTTAAAGCTGACAAGAAGTACTGTTTTGCATCAAACATTTTATAATGATAATCTTTTTCATTGTAATGTTTTGATTTTTGTTGATAAGATTTGCTTTTTATTGGAAATGAACTGGGTATTTGTAATCAGAAACCATTATTAGGCAGGAGATAAAAGATCTTGGCACATATTTAAAAAAAAAATATACTTAAATCTTGTTGGTTTTATAAGTCTTACTTAATATTAATTGGTAAGATTTAAAATGTGGTGCTACAATTTCAGGACCTTTAAGACCCATGTGATATGTATATTACAGAAATGGATGTTTTAAAAGAGAACTAGATATCCAATTGTATCATGAAGTGCACAAGGTCTTTGTTTTCCTACAAGATATTTCTAGAAATATTAGGGATAGTATATATATATAAAAAAAGCAATTAGTGATATAAAAGCAGTTGCAAAATTATGAACCTATTTTATAGTAAAAACCTCATTTTATAAAAGGCTTACTTATTATTACATCAGTATTTTTAAGATTTGTATGAATGTTACAGAAAGAATAAATAACCATTATTAAAGGTTGTACTTTTCTAACCATCTATTCTAGTACAAGAGCTAATATTTTTATTGGTTCAGATGTTATACACTTCTCTGTGGTAATATTATTACAGATATTTAGTATTTGGTTATTTTGCTGAGTAGTAGTATTTATTCCTATGATTTTCAGTGATATACAATGTATGTTTTGTATTTTTTGTACACAAGTCCCTCCAATTTTGATATTTTTCAGAGAATTTGATTCTGCTTTCTCATGTTAAATAAGGCTTATCAAACTTTAAGTGAAATAAAATTATTTTAATATAGTAATCAGATGTTGTTTTTTTAACCATTGATATTCACCTTTTATGAGGATCAGTCTATTTTAATCAGCTTTTTTACTAAATAACTTGTTCTCAGCAAATCTAGTTTATAAATGACTTTAATATTCATTTATAATTTTTATAATATAAAGTACTATTTTGTTTTTAATAAACATTTATGAATCTATTATCAGAAACTATTTTGTAAGCCTTCATATTTTTGTTTTACATTTTTGTAAAACTTCATTCATACCAGTTTCTCAAATTAAGCTTATTGCTACCATGAAGTAAAGGCACACTGAAATGTTAATTTTTTCATTAGCACTTCTCATTCCAATATCCTTGCTCAGTATTTAAGGAATTTTAGGTTTAAAGATTTATAAGGATTGTACACGTGTTTCAAGAAGTTGAGATTGTTTATAAAATATTTTGGGTTCTGTAAAAAAAGTATTACTGGCAGGTGTATACACTAGAAAGGCCAATTAGAGGATAAGTATTTATCTGGACTTTTTGAATGATCCTTTGTTGAACTTGTATTAATGCATCCTATTTGGTTTATAACTTGTCTACCTTTTACAAAATTTCATATTTTATATTTACTTGTATGGTCCATGGTTTCTTGTGTCCTGTGAAACCAATGAAACTGTTTGTGTGAATAAATGTATCAACCACAATTGAAACACTGAAAGCTGTTGAAACATTAGAAACCAATTTTTTTGAAATTTGTGATAAAAGTCATGCAAATTGCATGTTTGTTTGTTTTTTACACATTCTTTTTAATTTGGCTATTTAGAACTGACAAGTTATGATATTGAATGAAGGATCTCTTGAGCAGTGTATTTTTATGAGACGAGATAGATCCTTTGATTATGAATACAAAATGGACAGATTAAGAGAAAGGGGAACAAAAACTAATGTCTGAACATTTGGTTATTCAAACTTTGCCAAATAACTGGCTTCTTATACCTACTGAAAGCACTGGCCATTACATCTCTACTCCACAATTATGTTAAGTGTATAGATACATGTAGATATAAATGTTTAATAGCACTGAGAAATAAATAATAGAAGATGAATATCTGTTAATTCATTTAAAAAAAAATATATGTTTAATCACTAGATTGCTTACTATTGAAACATTATGAGCTAAAGAGCAGTAATGAAGTCATAAGAGTGAGATACATGCTTTTGGATGTTCTGTTTGGGGTTCTTATCCATTCTTTCTTTAACACTTTTCTAGATCTGAAGTAATTTTTCATCTCATTAGTTTCTGCAAGTACTAGGTTTTTAGTATTATGTCAGTTTAGAGATATTTGTGATTGTGATATTTATGAAATTTTTCAATAAAAATTATAACTATTACTCTAATGACCATGGCTATTTGATATGTATATATCAGATCTACAACCTGGCTGGATAGATTAGAAATTGTATTGTTACATTTTTACTCTTTTCTCATCCTTAGTGAAAGGTTTATTATCTATTCATCAGCTGTATGATAACACATTTATTACTTTGGATTTTTAACAAGAAATAGGAATATTTTAAGACTATGAAACTTGAATCACAAAATATTGCTCACTGCAAAAACAAAAAAAGAACAGTAGTATAATTATCTTTTGTTTAGACTCAAACTTTTGGAAGCATGAGATATATATATGTTCACTTCTTGTAATAAAATGTTTTTGTCTGAAGATTTTAAATGTTTTTTTCAGTAATTTGCATATTTTTAGTATTTTTACATTTTAAAAAATAAAAGAAGCTTTGTTGTACATAATAAAACTTTATTACATTCTCCTGAATTCTTTCTTCAAATTATAAGAAATTATGGTAAATGTATTTAATATTTAATAGTATTTGATAATAATATTGTTATTTTTTTGTTCTGCTATTCTCTGATTAATTAGTTAAGTTTTCCATTTAAAATAATTTTAAACAAAATGCAACTCATTATGCATTTTAGTTTTAATGGTGATGTAAATTTTGCTTGTACATTCTGTGTTTATCCAGTTCAAATTAAAGTAGTTATTCATTTATCAAGTATCTTATAAAATTTATTAATTTATGAATTTAATTAATCAAAATTAATGTGATTAATTATGTAAATGTTTAATTTTTCTAGAAACAAAAAATTCTTAGACAGCAGTTAATACACCTTAAGTTGTAGCAAAATCAAGTTCTGTTAATTGATTATTACAGAGTCATCTTTTTGCAATTGGTTCACTTTAAAGGATCATTATTATACTTATAAAATAGGCAGTTTAATATTAACTTTTATACATTAACATGTATGTAGGATATTAAGCAACTCTCACATGTGATGCTAGTGTTATTGTTGTAATTAAATTATTTTCTATAATTGTTTTTCTCCATATAATAATAAAAGCTGAAGAGTCTTGAAGCACAATATTTGTGCACATATTTATAAAAAATGTTTTTGAACATTAGGCAAGGGTCATTATCATTTCATATTACAGTACTACAGAACTTTAACCTTACTATGCCTATTTTTTATTTGACGTCAAGTTAGTTACCTCCCCCCAATGGCTCAGCTTTATGTTTAATGGCTTATAGCACTAAAAACTGGATTTTCATACCTATTGTGGGCACAGCACAGATAGCCCATTGTGTAGCTTTGCGCTTAACAATAAATGAAACAAACAAAAAATACATAAAGGTATTGAAAAGTCTTTTTTTTTATAAATAAATAAAGTCATTTCCTTAGTTTGTAGAAAATAAAATCTTTTATGACAGCTTTGGCATTAAATAATTTACAAACTAATACATCACAAATGACTAACAAAATGTGTTTCAGCTAAGCCTTCTTGAGCTACGGTACTGGGCAAAGAATATAATTTTCACGTATCTTTATAAAGCAATGCACCATTCTTACTCAAAACCAGTATGGATTATTTCAGAATAGCATTTGAAAATGCTTGTGGCATTACTGTGCATGTTTCACCATACTTGCTTGTGTTTGTGCTTCACAGATTTAGTGTTATGTCAGTTAGTCTAAATAAAAGCAATCTTTTTTTTCTTTTCTCTTTAGATTGTTCTTATTCCTCAAATTGACAGGATTCCATTTTTCCAAAAAATATTTGGCAGTGAAAGAAATCGTGACGAATTTAAAAGGCTCCATTGTGATGAGATTTTATTTTCTGTTTCTCAAAGGAAACTACCAGACGTTTGCAAAAAATTCCTGTATAGCATTGGCTTCTATGTATTTGATGGAGGTTTAAGTAAGTTTAATGTGTTTATTTCACTTGTAACATTTAAAATTTTTCATTATGGTACATTTTCTGGGAATGAAAGCATTTAACTACTAGATGTATATGTTCTTTATCATAACATTTCTAGTGTTAGTTATTAATATATCTTAATCAATTTATATTTTCACACCTTGGTCACAAAATGTAGTCCTCGTAAGTAATTTTTATACATTGCCATGGTCATTATTTATCTAGTACTTATATAACCAAATAATGTATGACAAAAAGGTCATATTGAAGTGAAGTGATTGTTTTTTTTTACAATGCTCTAAGAGTCATTTTTGATTAATTGACTGAACCTTATTGTCATCATTTAGTTCTAGATGTCTACATACTTGTTTTAAGTATTGAGGCATAAACAAATACATGTTGTATTTGATAACTTTAAATTTCATAATATTGTTATTATCAGTCAAAAATGTATTATAGAACTGCACTAAAAAACATTTTGTTTACATTTCTCTGAGCAATGGACTTTTTATCCAGTGTTGATAACCATTGTTAGTCACTATTAATGTACCATATACTATTTCATTTTTGGTAATTTTTATGTTTTGGTAGTTCAGTTTCCAAAATAATTACAATTAGATTATGTTTCTAACTTGTTCCGAGTGAAGTAAAAAATAATTAAATTATTAATAAATAGGGCCCAACCACTATTACAGTATTTTGTGTGAGCCTTTAGCAGTTTGGCATAATCTCTGCATCAAAGGAAAATAACAATAAAGCTATAGCTCTACTTATATATTTGTGAATGAAATAATTAATATCATTATCTTTTTTTCTACCTAATTATGAGCCATTGTGCCAAATGATGTAGGTCTCACTATTAATGCTTACAGGGTAGCTTGCTGCTTTCAAGAGCTGAGAACTTAGTAGGGTAGTGCATTTACGCTGTTAACAGGATATCAGTTTTAATCCTATTTTACCTCATTTAATTGTCTTCAAGAAAGGTACAGAAAAGCTGATCATGATATATTATAATAATTCTAATAGTTGAAACATAAAGCCCTTTTTTAGATTTTCCAGATTAACATTATAGTGAATAATAATTAATTATACTTTTAATATTAGGCCCATTATATTTTTAAATACAAAATTCTTTATCTAGTTTGTTAGAGATTTTCAAAAGTTAGAATAGTGTATATAATAATAGTATTCCAACCACACTCTTTTTGACATATCCATTGCCAATGACAGGTTTTTTGCTTAATCCAGAGCTCATCAGGCTGGCTAGGACACAAGAAACACAGTAATTGTTATGGTGTGAGTGCTTCTTACAAGCTGGTGAAACATGATTATAAATCGATCTTTATATATTTAAATGTTTTACACTCACAAAAAAAAGAAACCTATCATTCTATAGGTATTTGAAGAACTTGTAGCATTCTGCCACAATTTAATTCTTCATATTGTTGGCTGACACTGGGCAGCTGGTACATAATTGAATAAAGTTGTTTAAATATTTGTTTAAGAACAAGTAAAAGCTTGGAATGGTCTGTTCTTTCATTGGGGGTGTGTCTGTGAGCCAGACTAGTTTCGAAGAATTCCACTCCTCATCAGTGATTCTGGACACTACCACCAATGATGAGGAGTGAAATTCTCCAAAACTAGACTTAAAATAAGACCCAAAACT